GGCCTGGTTAGATCTCAGTTCTGCAGTAACAGAATCTATGGAGTCCTTTATGCTTTTTTCAGAGCCACCAGTAATTTTATAATTGTCCTCCTGAATTGTATCTCTGACATGTTACTTAAATCCATTTCTAGCAGGTCTGTGGCAGAAAGTATTACTTCTGGTTCCTTCTTTTGTGGTGAATTCTTCCTTCTAGTCATTTTGTCCAGTGCAGAATGGTCTTCCTTTGTTCTTCCAGCTGATTTTCTGGGGGAGGAGCCTGCTGCGCTGATTCTCAGATGTCTGTGCCTGGGCAGAGATGCTCTGCCCCTTGCTGGGTGGCCTGCCTCAGTGTGAGCTGTTTGTCCTGTGAGGCCTTTATTCCCTAGAAGCCACACCTCTCCCAGGTGAAAGGAGAAAAGAAAACAATTAAAACAGTTGTGGCCAAATCTCCAGCCCCGGAGCTCCGCGTGTACTGAACTGCAGTCTCTCAGTGCACACTGGCCTAGATCCTCCGGGGGGCAGGCGTGGAGGCCCTGATCTGCACAAATTGAAGGTCACCCAGTGGCAGGAGAGTTCTCGCTGTCCTGTGTCCTCCCAGCGTCTACCTCTTCTGAAGGGAACTGAGCATAGCTGGCTTTGTCCACTGGGGGTGCCCTCCAATCGAGGACCCTGTGCTGCTAGACCCGCACTTCTGGGGTTGCCTACCCCGGAGGGAACGGAGGATGGCACATCTCCATCCATTACCCTGGCGTTTACCAGGGTAAAGAGAGCTTAGGTGCCAGCCCATGCACCTGGCCAGCTTCTCCAAAAAAAGTAAATTCTTGCTTGCAAAAGAGTTACATATGGTACTGCTTTACATGCATTCCCCAATTATTAGGGGGACTGGATTATATAAGAACACCAGAATCCACCAGGCTGAGTTTGGTGCCTTTCTCTGTGCTCCCTTAGCATCTCATGTACATGTTTTGGACCACCACTTTGGTAGGTCCCGAATGTTCACGAGAGTGCCATATCTACAAGGACATCCTCCACATCACAGACACTGCAAATTTCTACTTACAACAATTTTCCTACAGATGGATGTGAAGTATCTTCAAGAAGGAATGCCTATTGCTAATTTGCACAAACATAGTGCATGGGCTAGTATGTTCCTACACACCTAGTCTATAATATCTCATAGGGGTGCACTTAATCCTAGTTATTCTCAGCAACATACTGCTGACAGAGCACTCAGCACAAAGAAGGCACACTAAATGCTTACTGAATACTTCAAAAGGTAAATAAGCATATAAATAAACTGGGAATTTTACATTCAGTTCAAATGAAGAACTCCATGTACTATTCTCATATTAATTTCAGTCATTTCTCAGGTACTTTTTCTAGATTCTATACCACTTTTTTTAACTTGCCCTTTCTATCCACTGTTTCAAGTCTTACTCTCCCATTATCCCTAATCCTGCTTCTTTGATCTTCCATTCCTGCACACTTCACACTCCATCATCACCACTTTTCCCTTCACATCTACCAATCTCTCTCTCTTTTTTTTTAAGATTTTATTTATTCATGAGAGACAGAGAGAGAGAGAGGCAGAGAAGCACATTCCATGCAGGGAGCCAGACGTGGGACTCGATCCCAGGACTTCAGGACCACGCCCTGGGCCGAAGGCAGACGCTCAACTGCTGAGCCACCTAGGAATCCCCAATCTCTTCTTTTTGACTCATGTTAATTTAATGTTTTCCAGAATGTATTTACAGATAAGAAAGTAATTTTTTAAAAAAAATATTTATTAATTAAGAGAAAGAGAGCAAGAGCATGCACACGGGGGTAGGGGCAGAGGGAGAGAGAATCTTCAGCAGATTTTCCACTGAGTACACTGTGCCCAATGCAGGAAGGTAGGGGGCTCAATCTCATGATCTGAGATTGTGATCTGAGCTGAAATCAAGAGTTGGGCACTTAACCAACTGAGCCACCCAAGAGCACTAAGAACATAAGATTTATTTTATTTTTAAGTTTTATTTATTTATTTGTGAGAGACAGAGACACACAGAGAGAGAGAGAGGCAGAGACACAGGCAGAGGGAGAAGCAGGCTCCATGCTGGGAGCCCGATGTGGGACTCGATCGCAGGTCTCCAGGATCACGCCCTGGACTGAAGGCGGCGTTAAACCGCTGAGCCACCCAGGCTGCCCGAACATAAGTTTTAAAAATGAACTTTCCTTAATGCTTCTTGACATTATTAAACACTTGGTTATCTATGTTTCTCAAGAAATTCTTAAATTGAAAGGAAAATGTTTTAGGTATTATAGTCTTAATTTAAGGGAAGAACATGTTCTATCTCTGACATAAATTTGTGACTGCAATTCATTCTGATTTATATGCAGGGGCAAAAAGCCCTGAAATGAGTCATAAAACATATGTGTATATGCTTTATTTGTTTATATTCTGTTTTTCTCCATTACAATTAAGAGCCATAAAGGTAGGGATCATTTGCATGTTGTTTGCTGCTATGTCCCTAATGCCCAGAAAAATGCCTGGCATATGGTAAGTGCTATTCAATTTTTATTCATGGCAAGGACTAAACTAGATATTTGATATTGATTATATTATCTAATTTTACAAGAAAAAAATTCTATCAGGCAGTTATTATTCTCACTTTATAAAAGGGTAAGGATCATAGGATTAAATAACCCAGGGCAACAACAGCTGGTATGAAGGAAATGGCATAATCAGGCCTACCAGAATGTAAGCCTCTGAATTTAACCACCAGGTACGCTTCTTCTCACTTTCTCAGTTCTATGAAGCTGGAGAAGTCACATATCTCTTTGAGCTTTAGTTCTTCTATGTGTAAAATGGGTATAAAAATGCCTTCCCAATCTACCTCAAAGTATTATCACAAGGCTCAGAGAACAACAAATGTGAAAGCACTTTTCAACTAATATCATGTTAAAACATAAATTAAAATATGTAGAATAAGAATGATTATGCAGGGAAAAGTTACATACTTAAGTGGTCTCATTCACTAAGAATTAAAAAGCTGTCTCCAAGTTACTAAATAGTCTATTATTTATATTATTCAAACATAGTTTCATATTTCTGCTTCAAACAAGGAGAAGGCAGCTCTATTCCTTCAGTTAATTCTTGTCTTCTATTCCAACAAAGAAAACAAGAAGTCGGTTTGCTAACTGAAGATTTCAACCCACTTATCAAACCACAGTCTCCAGTATCACTATATGGCCATGAAAAATGGATAGTTTTATGATATGTAAACACCCTTTTAATTATTTATTTTTCATATTATGATAGCAGTAAGATAGGTAGGCAAGAGGCCAAAGTGGCTCAAATTAAAAAATAATAAAATGAAAGTTACTGGTTCACATTGCTGAATGTCCCGAGAATTTTTGTCTTATAAATTAACATATTCAATGTTATTGAATAAGAACTCTAAGATCCCAATAAATCTCTAGCCCTTATCTTCTTAAATCTGCAGTATAAGAGAGCAATCCAGCTATGACATCTATCATTCTACCGGTCAAGTGGGTATTCTCCTCGATTTCACCGCTCCCAATATATTCTATACCAAAAAGCATTTTAAATGTGTTAGTAGTAGGTTTATGTCTCAATGGAAAAATCTTTTACTCTTCACTTTTTATCATTATCATTGGTCTACAATGGAACAAGTAGGTCATTTGTGAGTTACAAAAAGTTTTATCTGGCCTTTAAGTTTATATATTTCAAAATATACTTTAACATCTAGAAAATATAAAATGTATAAAATTTCAATTTGTACATATATAAGGATTTTGCCTGTGTGGCTACAGATTTAAAATGAAAAGCACTGCAAGTATTAAAAGAGCTAAAGAATACATCTGAATTTCATAAGCATCCTAACTGTAGAGTCTTATTCCAGAGTTCCCAGGAAGATTTATCATTTAAGAAGGAACAAGAAGCAGGATATGCTGTAATACACCTGAAAAGTACTGTCTTCAAGGTTCCTCTCTATTCCCATCCAATGCTTTAAAAAAAACTTGGAAAATAGGCGATAGATAACAATACTGCTTACAAAATCTAGTTAACATAATATACAGATGCTCTTTTAAGACTAAACTGACAAATCTTAATTTTGATCTCTGCGCATTTAGCACTGTAGAAATTATGTCCTTCAAGTACACAGGAAGTTTAAGGAGAAAATTTCAATTCCAACTATAAACTTGTTTCATTACATATAAATGTCACCAAGTAAGTCAAGAAAACAAAGTAAAACAATCAGCTGTGATACTTCAGATTCAGAATCTTAATATACATTAGTGGATCACAATTGCTATTTACTCTATAAAAAGGAAAACGCAGAAGTCAACTGAAGATACAATGTGCAGTTAAGTTGGTGTATTACATGTAATATTAAGGAGTATATGATATCTAAAAGTGTTTTTTTGAGCTATAATTCAATCATAAAAGGCCATATTGGGACTATGAACAAATCACAAAACCAAGAGTATTTTAGTTCCTTATTCCTTTGACTAGTAGCTGAAGATCTATGAACTATTATCAAATGCTGTATTCCCATTCACTTTTTTTCCAGTTTATAACTTATTTTTTCTCATATGCTTTTTTAAAAAGTTCTATTTAAATTCTAGTTAACATACAGTGTAATATTAGTTTTAGGTGTATAATTTAGTGATTCAACACTTCATACAACACCCAGTGCGTATCTCAACACGTATCCTTTTTTAAAAAAAGATTTATTTATTTATTCATGAAAGACACACACAGAGAGAGAGAGAGGCAGAGACACAGGCAGAGGAAGAAGCAGGGTCCATGCAGGATCACGCCCTGGGCTGAAGGCAGTGCTAAACCGCTGAGCCACCTGGGCTGCCCACACGTGCCCTTAATTCCCATCACCTATTACACCCCATCCCTCACCTACCTCCTCCTCAGGTAACCACCAGTTTTTCACTACAGTTACAAGTCTAAAGTGAAATAACAACTCTGAAAAAAACAAGTACTGTGTAAATTGCCCCTTTACCTTCATGACATCTCTGTATGATTGGATGGCTGAGACTTTTCTCTTTTCATCTTCTTCATCTTCCAGACCTTCATCGGCAGCCCCATAGCCTTCATCATTACTCCCATCAGCTTCTACTGTATTGGCCATGTGATCAATTAGCTGCTCCAGTGGGGGGCTTAACTCCCTTTCTTCATTCTCCTTCAAACCATAGTCCAGTGCTTTATAAATAACAATTCCCAGAGATTCAATAACCTAGGGACAGTAAGGAAGGTTATTAATGGAGATAACAGCTTTACAGAACTAACTGTAAGGCATAAAATAATTGATATGACATTTAAGCTAGGTTTGATCTATTCCATTTCAGAAACAGGTGACAAATTAGACTTGAGAAGATATTTAAAAGTCTCATCTACGCATTAAAAAAAGCAAATCCCAGATGGATATTTTGTGTGATTTCTTCAATCCAGGGTAAAACAATACACAAACTATTTTTGTTTTCTTATATTTATACTATACACTAAAACTGACACTATCCATTCACATAAAATACTAACCAGGTTGATTTTCCACATTTCCAAAAGATATTTCTGAGATAAGATAGAGCTATCAAAGAACGTATTCTTTCAGCACTCTTACACCAGTGTTTATAAAGTCTATTCATAGAAATACTAGGGATCTGAGAGACTGAAAGCTCAAATATTAGTAGCAGTTAACTAAGCTTAAACAGAAACTAAAAAATCCATATACATCCATATACATATTGCTGAGTTCCAATTAATTATTATAACATATCTCTCATATGATGCAAACAAATGAAAGACTTTTCCAAACTCTGATTTCAATGTAGTCCACAAATAGCCCACCCTACCCCACACCTCCATCAATATTACTTCTCGAAATATGAACCTGATTTAGGAATATTGGGCAGACTCCACTATCTAATAGCACCCTCACAAAAGCTCTAGACTTTTGCCAATATATGGAATTCTATTTTATTCCTCAGCAGAGCCTTTCTTTTCTTCTTAGAAAAAATCACATATAACCAACCCTTCTGTTTTATTTTCCAATGTTAATGGCTCACCTCACCTTAGCTATTTTGTGGGGAAGAACACAGGCAACGAAGCCAATTATTTAGGATTAAATGCTGACCTTTGGGGCACCTGAGTGATTCAGTTGTTTAAGTGTCTGCCTTCAGCTCAGGTCGTGATCCCTGGGGAGGCTGTTTCTCCCTCCCTCTTGGCACCTCCCTCCCAGCTCTCTTGCTATCTCTCTCTCTCTCGAATAAATAAATCTTAAAAAAAAATAAATGCTGACTTTTACCAATAACCATTTAAGATTAAATCCCAACTTTTACCACTAACCATCTGACTTAGGGCAAATTTTTTATTTTAGTCTTGATTTATCTGTAAAATGAGTATCAATGATTAGTGATTAGTTTATCCAGCTACACCCCCCCCACCCCCCATGAACAAACAGATCTATCCTTTTCTGTATCCCACTGGTAGCCATCATCAATGCTATCTTTTTTAAAAAGTTGTTTAGGTGGTATCAAAGAAAAGGAAGTCACAAGCTTTAAAGATGAGTTATAAACACTATACAGTCAATGTCATCATATATACTTCACTCCTTAAAAGCATTCAGGGCATTCACTCAATAAATCTCCACAAAATCTGAAATCTACCTATCAAGTGGAATAATATTTTCTCAGCAAAGTTTCAAAATGAATATAAGACTTAAACTAATTTAAATGTAAATTAATTCAATTTTTTCCCCAAGATTTATTTATTTATTCATGAGAGACACACAGAGAGAGGCAGAGACATTGGCAGAGGGAGAAGCATGCTCCCAGCAGGGAACCTGATGCAGGGCTTGATCCGGGGATTCCGGGATCATGCCTGGAGAGTAAGGCAGACACTCAAAACACTGAGCCACCCAGGTGTCCTCAATCTCTGGTTTTTAAACAGTACAGGTTTTTACTACTTTTCACTGAACATACAGAATATTTTCATTGGTTTGTATGATCTGACGTAGAACTCTGATTCCTATTTTCAAAGTTGAAGGCAAACAATCGGGACACTGCATCAAAATAAAAGCTTTTGCACAATGAAGGAAACAACAAAACAAAAAGACAACCTATTTAGATACTAGGTATTTGCAAATATATATATTGGATATATCCAATAAGGGGTTGAGCCTCAGACTTTTTTTTTAAAAGATTGTATTTATTTATTTATGAGGCACAGAGAAAGAAAGGGAGAGATATAGGCAGAGAGAGAAGCAGACTCCATGCAAGGAGCCCAATGAGGGAAGGGATCACCATGAGCCGAAGGCAGACACCCAAACCCTGAGCCACCCAGGCATCCCCAATAAGGGGTTAATATTCAAAATATATAAAGAACTTATACAACTCCACATCAAAAAAGGGGCAGAAGACCTGAATAAACATTTTTCCAAAGAAGACATACAGATGACCAACGGATACATGAAAAAAGTGCTCAGTATCACTAATCATCAGAGAAATGCAAATCAAACCCACAAGGAGGTATCACCTCACATCTGTCAGAATGGCTAAGATCAAAAAGACAAGAAATTATAAGTGTTGGCGAGGATACAGAGAAAAAGGAACTCTCATGCACTGTTGGTAGAGTGTAAATTGGTATACCCATTGTGGAGGCTTGTCAAAAAATTAAAAATAGAATTACCATATAATCCAGTTATACCACTACTGCACAGTTACCCAAAGAAAATAAAAACACTAATTTGAAAGGATATATGTACCACTTTGTTTATTACAGAGTTATGTACAATAGCCAAGATATGGAAGCAACTTAAGAGTCCAATGATAGAAAGGTGTGTGAGATATAGAGAGACAGACATCCATCCATACACACACACACATGCATACACACACACACACACAAATATATAACAGTCATAAAAAAGGATGACTTCTTGCTATTGCAACAACATGGATGGACCTAGAGGGTATTAATAAGCTAAGTGAAATAAATTAGACTGAGAAAGACAAATACGGTGTGAATGCACATATACGTGCACTCTAAAAAACAAAACAAATGAATACAGAGAACAAATTGGTGGTTGCCAGAGGAGAGAGGAATTGGGGGATAGACACAATGGGTGAAAGGGAATGGGGGATAAAGTCTTCCAGTTATGGAGTGAATAAATTATATAAAGGGCACAGCACAGGGGCGTCTGGGGTGGGTCAGTCATTTAAGCATTGGCCTCCCTGCTCAGGGGGAAGTCTGCTTCTCCCTATGCTTCTGGGCTCCTGCCCTCAACTTAAGCTCTCTGAAATAAATATTTTTTTTTAAAAAAAGGCAGAGCATAATGTATATACTTGTGGAATCACTATGCTGTACACCTGAAACTAATGTAACATTGTGTGCCAACTATACTCAAAAAAATGATAAAAGATGGCACATATAATTAATAATCACAAGTTTACTGTAAATTTAGCACTCATACACATCTCCTTAGCCTCCTTAATGTCTACTATCCTATAAAGTCTTCTGCTTCAGGACAGTGGGAAACATAGAACAGTGAATTCCATGGGCACTGGCCCATTGCTATACTTTTTCCTACTGAGTTCCCTGATCAGAAGTAATGCTCTGTGGAATACCATGATGGCGAATAAGGCATTCTGTAAAACCATGGATGGTAGTTTTGGCAGAAGTACTGCATGCAGTGAAGGCAAATCCATATCAAGGGTAAGTAACTCTTCTAGTAAGATCAAAATGCTGACCCTTCAATGATGAAAGCAGTCCAATATAATCAACCTGCCACTGGGTAACTAGCTGATCACCCAGGGAAACAGTGCCATATTGGGGATTTAGTGTTAGTCTCTGCTTGATGGTAGATTGGATCCTCAGCAATGGCTAAAGCTAAGTCAACTTTGGTGAATGGAAATCTATGGTGATAAGCCCCTGCATTTAAAATCTCCACCCATGCTGCTGTAGCCATGTTCCCAAGCTCCCTGTGTGATGACAAGGTAGCTGGGAAAGGAGGCTGACTGGTGTCCACAGAACAGGTCATCCCATTCACTTGAATATTAAAGTCCTTCTCCACTGAGGTCACTCCTTGGTGACCATTTACCTGAAACACAAATATCTTCACTCCACCCCCCCCCCCGGAGAAGTCTATTCACATATCTCTTCCCCAGATTTCCTTGTCACCAATGTTCCAATCATTCTCTCCAAGCAAGTGCACAACCAGATGTATTCTTCAAAGTTCTGCCCACTGGGAAGATTTCCCTTCAGCACTCTCCTTCAGGGACATCTCTGAAAGGTGCTACATGCTGCAGCTTGCCACTTTTAGATGGCACCTGCATATGCAGAACCATCTTTAACAAGGCCCAAGTCTTCACTTCTGCCAACTGACTGTAGAACTCCCCACAAGGCAAATAGATATAGGTTAGGAAAGAGAAGGGAGTGAGCAGAAGTGCATCTGGGCAGTGCTTTCAGGGTCTACCTGCACCCAAACACATATATACCATTCTAAATGATGCAGTGCTGTTATACCGACCCAAATTCATGGCTTAAAGGGTCAGATAATACCCAGTTTATGATGGGCAATTCAGGTCACATGGTAATTTGGTGGCCTATGGTTAAGTGGCCTACGGTTAAATGTTCAGTCTGTACTATGGCCCAGAAGCAGGCCAAGAATTGTTTCTCAAAAGAATGGGAGGGCGTTGCTCCAAAATCCTAAAGGCCTGCACTGTGCTTTGCCTACTGGACCTGCCAAAAGCTCCAAACAGCATCTCTATCCACCGCCAATTCAAACACTATTGGATTTAATGGATCACATGGCCCAAGTGACAGAGCAGTTTGCATAGCAACCTGGACTTGTTGCAGAGCCTTCTTTTATTCTGGGTCCTACTCAAAACTATTAACTTTCTGGGTCATTCCGTATGGGACAGAGTGATACAATATACTTGCAGGAATATGCTGCCTCCAAAATATAATGAAGCTACTAGTCACTGTGTGGTGTTTTTTTTTTTTTTGGTGGTGGGAGTGGAAACTGACGTAAAAACTTATCCTTCACCTTAGAAAGGATGTCTCCATATGAACCACACTACTGGACTGTAGAAATTACACTGAGGTGGAAGTCCCCTGAATTTTTGTCAGATTTATTTCCTACTTTCTAACACACAAATGTTTTATCAATAAGTTTAGAGTAGTTGCTATTTCTCACTCACTAGGTCCAATAGCATAATGTCATCAATGTAATGGATG